ATGAAAGTGCTCTTTTCAGTCAGCGACTTTCCGTTTCACCTCCCGTGTCCCCTCGTCAGTGAATCCTCCTGTCCTGCATGGTTTTCCTTTTTTTACCTCCTCTGTCAATCCGCGAGCGTGCGACCCGTTATCTCAAATTGACTAATAACGTGAATGAATCACGTGATAATAAGCAGAATAAACAGATTAATTAGAACAAATAATAGGTCACTCACAAATGTAACAAATAAACACTGGGCATGGCACAATACAATCAGAACTATTTTCTAAGCCGCATCACATGCGCTCCTTGATTGCTAAGTGTAGAACTATTTCATAACGCAACAACTTGTACATGTATGTACCATAATAACTCTATTAGACTGATCATTCATAAAACAACTTATCCACTATGTTTCGCTAGCATAGAAATTACACATGGTTACATCTAGTTAGTTCAACACAGCCTCAACTGATGTACCCATCCTTCCAACAATTATTGGGATGTAATTGGTTCAGTGCAACTAGGGTCACTGGGTGAGCAAGATAATCTAAATTAGGCCACACTGATTTAATTTTATGGACGACATCCTCTGAAGACCCCCAAACTAACGCGAAAGGGCGAAAAAAAAAATCGGCCAAAAAAAATGCTGCTAAAACAACAGGACTACGGAGCTATTATTACGAATTTAACCACAGTGTATCAGAAAAACAACAAGTCTTAATTCGTAGGAGGCACATGCTGATGTACACATTTCGTATTGTATTACTGTCACAGGTATCATCACTTTTGATTTTGAAAAGGCAGCTTTGCCAAAGGCATACACATCAACTCAATAATAAAGAAAAACTTACTGTGTTGTATTGAAAAAAAAATTAAAAAATAAGTTTGTCAACAGCAACCTGGAAATTCTTTGACATTCAAACTACAGCTTTTAAAGTGACACTTCAGATAGACTAAGTGTAGACACAAATGCTCTAGAACTACTCTAGAACAACTATGTAACAAATTATAAGAGGCTCGATATTGGAAAAAAAAACACCAACAGAGTCAACAAAAATTTGGATGCAGAAAATTATGTACATGTATCTTGATGAAAATGGGTCATATGATCAAAATATTACTGAATTTGTGTGCAAGCAAATTGTCTGAATCAGAAAATGAAAAAAATAGGGACTTCGGCCAAGGAGCTTCTGCTGCTTTCGTTGCAGTTTTGTCGACTTCAATGCGGACAAAGCAACCGAACTGATTTGTCGCCTGACCGACTTTTAGGCCACCATACACCTCCACTCCTCTCCCATTTCTCTCATCATTGCAGAAGAAACGCGGGACAGCCACTCTGGACAATATGTTCTCAAAGTTGTCTGGGCGAAACTCGCTTGCCGCTACCGACCTCTCGTATAGCTGTGTAAACGTCTCCCTGGCCAACGTCAATTGCGTACCAGTCTACAACAATCCCTCCGTTTCACCTCTGAACTTTTATGCTCACGTATTTTGGTGGTGTGGTCGCCATGTTGGATCATTTATGGCAAAATTTGCATGTTTTGAGGCAATCTCTTTCCCATATGTCTTTGCGCATTACGTAACGCGCATCTAACTGTGCGGAGTTTGGTTTTGAGGTAGTCCAAAACGAGTTTTACGACAAGTCGGCGCTTTGCGACAATATGAGTCGGCAAGTTCCGAACAGAAAACCGATCTGTGGAGACTCGTCGTCGGAGATTTTTTTTTTTTTTTTTGAGAACAGGCGAAAATTAATGCGCGCGCGGATGTCATCCATAAAATTAAATCGGTGTAGCCTTACACTTATATGTCGTACAAGGCTGAAGTTTTAAGTCATCTCCTCTATTGGCTGCTCAAGAGCCAGCATTTGTTGCTTGCTCTTCCTGACTGCATGCCATTCATGTCATTCAACAACTCAGACTTTGCACCACCGTCTTGTTTACACTTCAACTGCCTTACTACTATATGGTACTACTACAGGTTGACTCTGTGCTTCCTTTGGCATGACTGTCATTGTAGCTCTCCTTTTATGGCTGCATCGGGTACACACGATTGTAAACATTGTCATTATGCAGTCCTCGCATAAACAGATGAGTGAGGCGGTAGTCACAATCAGGTAGTGGACATTCACAATTTTATATTTCTTCAATGGTTCTCAAACTAGCTTAAAGTGAAATTGCATATGAACAGATTCATAAGTGTGTTGGACACATGAATATAAATCAGCCATATGGTCTACGGAGCAGCGGGCAGCATCATATTCACCACATAACTCGTCAAAAACTGACTAAGGATTCTGCTGATTGGGTGGTAGATTCAAAACAAGTTTCCTAGCCTCACCACTAAGATTCCTCACGATAGTAAAAACGTTCAAATGTGATGGCATAGCACCAGAATTTAACAAATAGTTCATATGTCCTTAACCAAGTCCTCATTCTATAAGGAATATTTGAAGAATATAACTATTATGTTTCATGAACACTTGTCACAATAGGAAAAGTTAACAGTTTTGATTGGCTTTACTCCAACGGCTTCGACTATAACCATGTTTTGAAATACGGAGCTTTTGGATGTATTCCATTTTCTAAAGTAAAATCTTGAATCAAGTGCCTATGCTATTGAAATACAGACAGCTTTCCAGTCTTTTAGACATCTCTGCAGGACACCTACGACGGGATAGACTTTTCAGCCCACTACACAATAGAATCAATGGAGGTCAGAACCCTTTCCTTTTTGAAACCAAAATTGTCATCTAACTATAAGGCCATCGCTGATTGGCTGCTGAGTTGGAAAGTGTTCTATGTTCTACGTGTAATTAGATTTTCGTATGCAAGGGATTTTTTGTGGTGTGCCAGATTTATCATATTTTTTATTACCTGCTATGAGTATTTATACACACAATATTTATTGGTGATTCGCTCCGCCAGGATTGCCCTTAAATCATTTTTGTTGTGTGTGTTGGCGATCCGCTCCGCTGGGATTGCCATTAAATCACTTGATTAATGTGTGTGCGTGTCTGTGTGTGTTTCTAGTGTTTTCAAGTAATAATTCTTCTGTGATTTTTTTGGCTAGGCCGATTTCGCTCACACTTGGTATGCAGGTCACACTTCCACCCTAGTTAGTAAGTAAATTCTGAAAAAAATCCTAGTCCATCGTTGTCATAGCAACAGCCACAACATTTATTTTTGAATAGCTTCGCGCCAAATGTATCTCCTACAAATTTAGGACCTCGGACTAATTCTACTCAGCTCAATTGTGGGTACCAATTACTATTTGATTTTTTGATATCTTTCTTCATTACCGAAAAACTGTTCACCAGGGACGGCTTAACGCTTCTGTGATTTTTTTGGCTCGGCGGATTTGGTTCAAACTTGGCAGGCCAGTCACACCTTAACTCTAGTTAGGTGGTAAAATCAGAAAAAAAATCATGACCAATCGTTGCATGGCAACAGCCAAATGTTGATTCTTTGTAAACCTTTGCGCCAAATGTATCTCACCCTACAATTATCGGATTAAAAAAACTCGAACAAAGCTTATTATTTTTATTATACTGTCACTAATTGGAAAAAATCCTGGCCCACCGCCGCCATGACAACAGCCGCAAAACTGATTTTTGGATACTTCCGCCCTCAATGTGTTACTTTCTACCAGCTTGTAATAGCAGTATTCAAATGATCATGCTTTTAAATTTGGCTAAGTTGCGCACCGACGAGAGATCACCGGCACCGACATTGTTACACCATACCAACGTAATTCCAACGCAACTTTGAATGACCTGTAAATTCTGCGGTCAATCAAAAAATCTAGAAAATACAATCACAATCCAAAAATTATGATACCACATTCAATCGAATAATAACAGTGTAATAACAGTGTTGGAATGAACAAGCATTTTATTTTGGCTGAGTTGCACACGGAGAGAGACCACCGGCGCCGTCATTGTTGCACTGTATCAACATAAGTTCGAACGCAACTTTGAAATTAGACTGAACTGTAAATGCTGAGTTCAATCAAATAATCCAGAAAATATAATGGCAAAACTGTCGGAAATAAAAAGTTTGTCATCTTAACGAAATCTAGGTTAAAGGGTCAACTTGCATGAATATAATAACGATAACAGCAAAAGAAGAAGTGCTATTAATAAAGTAAAGTGAAGACTGAACGTTCTTTGCGTCCTTCGTATATGGGTTCCTTGTTTTAGTTATAAATCGACGTTAGCTGCACGTTCATGTTCTTCTATGACAAAAGCCGAAAACATGTTTGTTTTTTAGCGGAGCTAGCCTACCTGCTTGTTCAGTTTTTGATACAATTATTTGAATTTGCAGCTGTATATTTAAGACTGCATTGATATATGTGTCTTAAATTATCGTGTTTTTTATTTTCGCAAGAACGAACCCCAATTCTTTGAATATTGCTTTTTTCATGGTCTCTCACAGGATTTTAATAAGACGACACTTTATCCCACAATGACGCTATAATCCAATCTAAATTATGTAACAAGAATTGACTGTTAATTGAGTGGACTCTTGATTTTAAGTGATTTACCAGTTTTTGGAAATTCGTAAAAACTCCACCAGTAGCACATGTTGTTTTCAAACAGGGCGATTGGATCAGAAAACAACACAGATTTTGACTCCTTCCGAAACCCTTCGTATTTGGCATTTTTACCGTGTACGTGGTACACAGAGCTGTCGCCACAAAAAGCACTCTTTGCTTTTCCTATCGTGTCTATCCATGCCTCTTCGTGGGCCGCCTGTACAATCTGTGGATATGCACCAATTTTACGGAGAACTGCTGTTTTAGCCATGAAAAAGAACATGAACATTTCTCCCCATACACACTGTGGGTATCCAGGTACAATGTTATTACGCGGAAAAAATGGTCCCAGATTACAATATCCCTGTGTATCATTGTAACCAATATGTCGAAGTCCTTTGAGTATTCCCAGATTTTTTACCTCACCACAATTTATATCCATGTCAATATTTGGATCTTCGAGTTTTTCCATCATAATTTCCAGATTGGTATTGTTCGTAAAGTACATATCATCATCTAAAAACACAACGTATTTTGTTCTGACCTGACTCAAGGCAAGGTTTCTTCCTGGAAAACTTCCTTCCCTGAAAGGCATGACGAAGTATTTAACATTGTCCTTTTTGATCGGTTTTGGAAATTCGGAGTCATCTGCAATTATTATTGTTATATTTGGGTAGTATTTGTGAACACTAGCAACAAACTGCTCAATGACATCTGGTCTTTCAAATGTTTTAGTGATGACTGTGACTTTATCGATGACTGAATTTCTTTCACCAGGATCGTACAGATCTGGCAATGGTTCCCTCCGAATGCGAACATAGATATCAGCTGTGAAATTCAGTAATGTGATTTGTAATTTATCACGGGCATCAAGCTCATAGTTATCACTGGAATAAAGAATATTATTGTTGAGAATTCTTTTCAAGAGCTCTATATTTTGCTTCAAATTAATTCTCAATTCAAACGTCTTTTCACCGGATATGACGTGGTTTGCTAACATCATTGGAGTTATCAACTTGCTTAAACGTGGTTTTCCCAGCTTCCTCACAGATGCTATTTGTAGTGTAATATCTGTGTTCAAGTTTGGTAACATTTGATCTACAATTGGATGAAGTGACAATCCAATGATGGGCACTGTTTGATACGGATCCACGGTGATACCACCTCCGATATAATTGAATGGAGACATCGCTTTGCAGACAGACAATGGTTCTAGACGCTTTTTCTTCTCATGTTCCCACTTCTTTCCTTCTACAATTCGTCTTTTATTTACAGGCTGCAACCAGACTGGTGGCTCTGGACAGTTACACCTTAATCGTCCAATCTGCATTTGTTCACGCAGCATTTCCTGTTTCATTGCAGTGACGTGTTTGTCGCCATTAAAAGCGACTGAAACCATTTCGTTCATAGCGTCCTCCCCAGAATCATCAGTAATAGCAACAACGTCTGGTTTGCAATCTCGTGTGATAACTTTTTCTTCGTCTGGATATCGATGATATTTTCTTCTAATTTCAGAACCCAGATACACAATGACAATTATTGGTAAAATCACTCTGATAGCAAAAAGAGACAGTCGATTCGACGATCCGCCAAGCAACCCCATTTTATCACAAATCGTGCTTTAATACAATGTGCCTACAAAACACTCACACAGATTACTACCTCGTGTGCAGTAAGCGTGATGTGAATATTAGTATGCAGGTGCTGTAACATCAATTTGACAACATTTTGCTTTTATGCGCGCGTGCGCAGTGCTTCATGTTTGCTGTGGCGGGGTGTGGTGTTTAGAAACTCGCACACATATCTTTCCCTACTCCACAAACGTGTATGGAATGATAGGGAGGTAGAATCTGTTTATATTTACTATGTAAAAACTCCCATTGTCACCCGTCCATTTGTCTAGTAGTGGAACAATGTGTGCAGCCCACAAGAGAAAATAGCGTCATTTGTTTTTATTATGGCTGTCCGGGAATACACTACATTGCTTCAATAATCGCACTGGATTATTGTCGTTATTACCATAACATAGGAGTAAAGGGTGTCATTGATATTAATACGTTAATGTTTTAAAGCGATATTAATGTCATTCACACTGTGGTAGGGTGGTTCTGAAACATTTGTTATATACTTATGTTTCCATCAGTGAGCATAATATGGTGCCAGACGTGTATTACTCGCATCAATAGATACTGCTTAAATTGAGTGTGTGTGTGTGTGTGTATGTGTGTGTGTGTGGGTGTCAGCATCGTTTATTCTATGTTTTCTTTATATTAGCTCAAACCTTGCAAATAAAAATGCATGGAATCATGGGAAAAAACGGTGTACACTGTCGTGTGATAACTGGCATAAAGGAGATTGATAGGTCATACTGCTTCTGACATGTCACACCCGCCGTGATGTTCCAAAGTCATGTCAGGAAAAAATGTCAAATCAAGGTTACTGGACAAACAACCACATCAAGTCAACTTGGCAGTCAATAGCCGAGATCTGGCCAGGAAGTCTGAATATCTAAAACATGCTCTTGAGTAACGCACAAGCTGTGAAATAGAAAGTCAATAAGCTGGTGAAGTAGGAATGTTACTATCGATATATGGAAAGTTTGAATTACTAAATAGCATAACATACTTATACATGGATTGCGGATTGTTTGGTGAAAAAAAAACACTGCGAAATGCACAGTAAATGTTATTTTCGGCCATGGTTGCCGTGTTTCATCTGTGCAAATCGCTCAATCTTTAAAAGTATAACATTATTGAAATAAATTGACGAAATATCAAACGTAAGTTATTTCACCACTCGCCAGGTAAAATGCCGTACCATGGAAATGACTGCGATGACTTTCTCAGGAACGTATCACCTTATATTCTCAACTAGACTCAGCTTAGAGCGTTCTAGATGAGCAACGGCGTAGCACGCGTCGAGTTTTTTCACAGAGTGAAACACGTTGCAGCGATACCGGATGCGACGTTTCAGTGGCAGCCTCGCCGTACATATTTGATTTATACAAAGAATACTCCTAACATTAAAACATCTCAAAAACAATTATCTTACTTAATACTGCACTAATGCTGCAAACTTAGGATTATATTTGTAGGGCGTTTTCATTATACATATAGCTATATAATATATACAAGTAATTATTCACCATAGGATATGTTTCATACAATACCTATCAACTATGTTGCAAATGTTTGCTGTAATGCACAATTTCTGCAAAGTGTGATGGTAACGCACATTTAAGTATACGTAACATGTATGTATAAGTAATTTATGAAAATTTTTATTTAAATAATTTATTAATTAGTTAATAATTATTTATTCTAATTATTCTTTATTGGTTAGTAAAACTAATTAAACACAATTAATGAGTTTCATATTATCATCCACGGATTCGGCAAATTCATATTCCTTATACCAAATGTTACCGTAAAAACTCCCATTTGTGTACAATAAAAACAAGCTTTAGCACATACTGTTTCTATAATTCCTGAAAAATTACAAATATTTGAACAATGCATACATCACGAATTACGGAATGTTTTGATTATAAGCAGATTGAATATACATTAAGCAAGTTAAATCTTTTGCTTGAGGTATAATTGAAATCTAACATTTGTGATTTCTTACAATCGGACTAAACAATTTTATTTACAGTGGAAGCTATTGAACAGATAGTCTTACAAGTTGTTATTGCTAAAACTTAATTCTAGCATTGTTCAATTTAATTAGGCTTCATAACCCGATTATGTCTTATACTAAAAAATCTAATAAACAAAAATAAACCACATTTAGAATATTAAAGAGAAATTACGCAATCCCAAGAATCGGACCAAGTGCTTATGGGTAATTTCAATACCTAAACTCAGCCTCTAAGTAAACTAACGTTTATCTTTCTCACTCCCATTACCGGTAGTTCCAAAACCCAACAACCCATCATTGTTCGAACAGTTTTGAAATGAATACAAACGTTTAAATACAATCTCCAATAAAAAAAAAAGAAATAACAAACAGGGAACGCACTGTTACTCTGTTATTAATAGGTCAACAACAACACACTTCTTAGTTTAAAAATGAATGCAAGCCAGTGCTGTTTTTGATACGTTCGTATGTCGGGTGGTAAAATGAAAATAATTTAAGTTTTCGTTGGCCCATTATTGATGAAATTGTCTACCGGACCGGATCTTACTAATTATTAGTAACTGTAGAACTACAGTTAATTAGTGGCTAGCGCCCTCGTGCAATTTACTTGACTTTCACTAAAACAGTTGGTTATATCTTTAGACTTTCAGATAAGTGTTTCAGTCTTATACCATGAGGAGACGACGACATTGAAAGATTCAGCAATCGGTTGCACTGTTTGTGCACATCGCTGAACGTATGTTAATTTACATAAAAACAAAAGATGTATGCTTTGCCATTTGTTCATTGCCCATTCGCTATGGCTTAGTTGTTAGAGTCTCTATCTGCTGTTGTGGGTTACATTCTGCATATGAATACAAGTGTGACGGGTTTACAATCTGCATAAGATCATAATGTTTACAGAAATAAACAAACCGTCTAAAGAATAGGCCAAATGACCAAGAGTGGTATGATAACTATATAAAGTAGATCCCAATTCCTTTCTTCACGTGCTGACAAACTGGCTTTGACGCTCTGGATAAAACCCGCCATTTTGAAATTATGTGATGACAAGCATGCATAAATGCATTCCAAGTTCAAAGTGACGTATCATTACGTATGGTATAATCTCAAAAGCAACATACGTACATACATACAAAAAGAACAATATATTTATCATATATTTCTGTTTCTGTTTTTCGCGGTGTGCACGTTTCATCACAAACCGTTTTATTGTTGTCAAATATTCACGAACATGAGATCCAGGAAAGGGAACCCAATATACATAATGTTTCATTTCGCACATCGTTATATTATTGTCACTATACACACAAACAAGCATTGGAGACTTAATACAACATTTATGTTATCAAACACCCAAAAAGACAAGTGATTTTACTGAGATGTGTTCAGAGTCACAGTTTGGCCTCCAAACATTGTAGCTGGTACATTTTCCAGAGCATCATCCATGATTCTACTAGCTTGGGTCACATTAACATACTAATTTGGGCTGCTTCTATCTTGCCCCATTTATACCCTCGATTTCCCTTCAGGAAAAGTGTTGTTGAAAAAAATGTTAACCACAATGGTTCTTGTGATAGAACATCATCTTTCCATGTTTTAAAATTCACATATCCTTATCCACATATCACCATCTTCATTCAGCTTCCATGCATTCCCTAAAAATGTTTTCTTTTTTTCATTAGCACTGTGTTTCAGTCAAAAAACTTGATATTGTGTAATGACTTTACCCCGTCAATGCTTAATTTTTAAAAATTTTCACGTCATCGATTGAAAATGATTCATTTAGTGCAGGTATTTTTGGATAATGTGATCCGTCTTTGATGTCGATTGACACGCCACCAGTCGCCATACTGATACGTCTATCACGGCTATCAATCCTCACATTACATTACCCACATAGATATCCTGTCATTCTCTAGATTCCCACTCAGCCAAAGCAATTGTTAGAAAACTTATGTGCATCGGCATCTATGATGTCAGATGGCCATACGTCAGTGGCCATAGCGGGTCACTGTTTACAAACAAGCGTCTACCCATGGACATTTGCATTTTAACATGTGTTTTCATCGTCGATGGGGACTTAATTCCCGCGCTTGCGCAGGTAACGACCTTCCAGCTTTAATATCCACCGAACCAACACCAACGATCAGCGAGCGCCAATTTTATGTAACCAACCAAGTATGTTCATACAAAATACAGTACAATGTTACGTCATTTAGGAAATTACTTTAACAAATAATTACAAGTTTTTTAAAGCAACAACACTATTCGTCATTGCAATTAGATATTCACCTGGATGAACTAGTTGATCATCCAAGATTTAATGCAATATCTTTTATGAAAACAAAACTGTTCTGTCAAAATTGGTAGATTTGAAGGTACACAAATACAGTAGTAAAAAAATAGAGTCTGTCCAACTACAACTTTAGAAGTCTTCATAGAAGTACGGGAGCACACCAAGTGGTTAATATAGTGGTAATAAGAAATAGTAGTTCTACCAGAACTTGATCTTCAAGATTTTATTTCTACCCGACGTTTCGACAATTCACAGATTGCCCTCATCAGGGTCAAACAACTGGCAAAAATTAATGGAAATAAAACATAACTGAATAAACGATTAAACACGCGAATTGTCGAAACGTCGGTATAAATAAAAACTGTGATGTTTTTTTGTGTGATGATCACTTATTAGAGTAATGCAATAGTTTATTATTCAGGCTGTCTCGAAGAGGTAATTGTCAGATCACATATGCTAGCTTACTGCAATCAGAACTATGTGTCTGATTTTTTCTCAAGGTGCTAACCTTAATGTGTATCATAAATACTAGGTAGTTACGAACTATATACGCAGGTGCATAGATAGTGTTTCAAGATGAAGAAGTACGACTGTGTGATTGGAAACTAAATGTGGCCAGTACACTGGTACATATCCAGTAATATACCTGAATTTAAGTCATCGGGCGTCGCACTGTGATGCACTCGAAAATAATTTTTGTGAATAGCCTCATATTAAAAACGATTATTATAATTATAATTAATAACGGAAAACTATGTACACCATTACATAAACATCACAACACATGATACACACGTGATAGAGTATGAGTAAGATATTCAAACGGCCGTTTGTGAAGTGAGTTTAATTTAAATATTACGTCATTTTATTTCAATCTGATCACGTACATGTAGTCAAAGCTGGCGCCTCTATATTGTTTTTTTTACAAATAGACAGACAAAATGAATGCATTATAAATCAAAGAAAGCTTAGAAAGAACTCCCATGTGCTGAGAGTATTGGAGACACATTAAATATAATTCGAAATTACTTAGCTGAAAACTAATTATGCAAATCAGAAAATTAATATGACCAGATTTGAGTGTAAAACTAATGAGGTCTGCGCAATGTAACAGAAAATCTATGTCTCCAAGTTTAATTGAAATGTGATTAGAACCAAAAAATTAT